CTTCTTCTCGAGGTCCCATATCTTTAGGACAGGCGCACGGGCAGACTCATCATCCTGGAGAGAAATGAGCTTACACAGTGTATGTTTCAAGTACACGCACGCCGACAGTGACAAGAACGCCACGCCGCTCGGCCATGTGGGTTACGCGGCCGCCCTCGTACGCGACCCAAGTCCGCTGTGCCTCAAATTCTCTGTTGAGGATGTGGATCGTGCCATAGATGTCTGCGACAAGAACACCGGCAGACGAGGGGAGAATTGTGGATATTTCTGGGGTTGTTTTGAAAATCTCGGGGGGCGCGTCTAAATCATGGGCGTCCTTTACAGGGACCACGTCGAAGAACGGAAAGTTGCGCCACTACAAGGAGTCACGTCGGGCCACGGAGAATATAAAGTGCTTACTGCTGGCGCGGTGGGAGGTAAGGAGGACATGTGCGAATTAATTAGCGTTCATTACAGGTTTCTGCGTCTGCTGAGATGGAGGTAGCAGGTGCCGAGTTACGCGATCCTGCCGCCAAATATACCTTTACTCCGTCCACGAAATAATTGACCTCGTATTCTTCAAAATGCAGTTGTGCAGCTGGCTCTATAGTTCTTTGACCTTTCGTACTCCTCGAGTAGAATGGATTCGAGTATATATCGCGAACTGTCCTTACATGAGTAGTCTCTGAAATCTGAGTAATCTTTGTTTTGATCCTATCTCTGGTCTAATTAGAACGGCCATGTCCCTCTTACAGCTGCCTCCGGAATTGCTCGAGCAAATCCTCGTCGACACCGTATGCAGCGGCTCTCCCAACACCGTCGCCGCCGTCGCTGCTTGTTGCCGTCTTCTCCATGACTTAGTCCATTCAGTCTGGCGTGACCTCTTTCTCGCCGTCTTCGACGATCCTCGGCCTAAGAATGCCCTACTGTCATCTAGCCCAAGCATAGCCAGTCCCGTTCAAATTCCATACGACTGGAATGATTTTACTGCCCGCATTGCTGCCGCCAATTATCTCGCGGCGGGAGACCCAGAATGCAACTTCGAGACTCTCGTCGATGTTATTGCAACTGCAGCCCCCATCCCCCCCGTTCGGTACGACCCGGTGCAGCGCTGCCCTCTTGTCTTCCCTCCGCTTCTTCGGGAGTCCCCGCCTCGAGGAATGTATCATGGCTTAACCAGGTCTTAGCTCGCGGATATCCGCCGCTTCTCACGAAGCGTATGTTGGCTGCCTTCGATCCCGAAGGTCCAGAGTATACTCGCCCAGAATTCGAGGATACTCCTCCGGGAAAAGCTTTCAACAAGTTCACCTTCATAAGGGGGTTTATCCCAGTCAGCTATCCGGAAACCTCACCGACGGTTGAGTATCAACACACTACAGCCCGCGCCGTCGCGCGCAGTCGCGTATACAACACAAAGTACCTCATGCCCGAGCGCTGTTGGGGGCCTTTCCAACCCCTTGACCCTTCCCAGCCCCACGTTTACGCCTGGCGCAACCGTCTCTCTCGCTTCACTCCGCCCGAATCCGACTCCCAGGACGCGGACATCGCCCTCCGCTCGGCATCCAGCTCCCGCCGCTACCACGGCTTCCACCCTTCGTCCATTGTCCTCAGCCCCACCCTCCTCGACCCGGATGACGACATCGACGACCCAGATTACGACCCAGACGACTCAGAAATGGAGGAAGGCACCCAAGACGACACCCCGCACCTTCTCCATTTCCTCTCTAGCCGTGGAATCGACTTTACTGACAACAGAACGTACTCTACGTTCGAATTTAATGACGAGGCACCTCACCTCGTCGTTCCGGACTATACTTTCCTCGCCGCGGCCCGGTATATTATGGAGGCCAACATGCGTGACAAATTCGACATGGAGCGCCATTACAGCACGCTGGCTCTGCATCGAAGCAGGCTGCCGCCGATGTTGGCCTCGAGCTTAGTGAGGTTGTGGATGCAATGCAGTCCCTTGAACTCGCCCGCATGGGCGGTGCACCTGGGTTTTGGGACATCTGGCGGCCGGAGAAGCCTGAGGATGATGATGATGACAACGAGACTCCGGCGCCTGCCGACAACGACAAGGGCAAGGGCAAGGCGACCGACTCGAACGAGTTTGAAGGATGGGACTGGGCCGGCGTCGAGGGCGAGTGGAGGTAGTTCTCATTCTACTCCCCGCTACCTATCTGACCTCCTCCAGGCGAGTCGTGTGCTGGCTCGACTATCGGGACCTGCTCAGTGCGTCTCCCACCTTTTTCTATGTCATCCCATACTCACCCTTACTTCCAGTGCACAACGTACGCGCGCGCAAGCCCCCCTTTTTTGCGCCTACTGACTCCCTCCAGGTTGACATAGCCACGGCCGGCTTCGGCATCGACGAGCTGCAGAGACGATCCGCATCTTCCCCATGACGCTGCGAGTCGCGCGCTACGAGCGCCCGCCTCGTCCGCCGCCCGGCGCAGACCCCCGCGCCCTCATCTGGCGGTTGCCGATCATCCACGTCGAGGGCGAGTCGCGCGGGACGGACACAGACGAGGACAGGGGGCGCGTCGTCGAGGGCACGGTCAGGATGATTGGGGACGGCGCGGTGCGCTGGAGTATGGTGCGGATGCTATTTGTCGGATAAATATCAATTATTGTGCTGATTTGAATTTATGCAGACCTCGAGCGAGGCGACGGGCGCGGATCCGGAGTGGGTGACAGAGAGCGTGCAGGTCGGCGAGATTGGCTCGGCCGTAGGCATCATTGGGCTGTGGACCGGCGCAGAGCATTCGAGCACTGATCCTCTAGGTGTGTTTCTCTTCCATTGTGTGTTCCTGCGTTGCTAACAACTCTCAATAGGACCCTGCTGGGCTTGGAAAGTCGCAGTAGCATAAATGGAAGTGATATATCTGGAACATGGACAAATAGTTTTATGGTTTACACAGCTGGAGTCTTTCAAGCAGAGAGCTTGGCAGCAACATCTGCCTATCTTAGCCTCGCAAGACTGACGCATCCAGTGTTCGTGGTGTACTGGCATGCCCCGCAAAAAAGCGCGTCGAGGTCCCGCGAACGATCAAATACTTTGTTCCGCTCCGTGCAGCATTATCGTCTCCCAGCCGTCGCGCGCGAGAGTAGAGAGCGCTTCTTTCAGCGTCGGGAGTACGAGTAGATCCAGCGCCGTCAGTGCGCTCCGCACTAGAGGTTGCATAGACAGAAGTTTGTACATTTCCGTTACGGATTCAGGGAGGGTATCAATGGTAAACCAGTCAGAACTTCTTACTTGAGCATCATTTCCGGCTGCGGTTTGGGGTTGAAAGGACTGCATGTTGTAACTTAATAAAAGTGAAAGTAAAACTAGTCTCTCCTCAGACGCTTTGCTTGATAAATAAAAACATGGTCAAACTTCAAAGCGCATGCCACCCAGAGAACGCAAGACCCAGGGCAAGAGGAGGAGGAGGATCTATTACTGAGGGAAAAGCATGCCAGACACCGATGGTCGTGGTTCGAGGTTGAAGGCAGATGTTTGGTTCCAAAGGTTCGGCGCCAAACAAAAATCGCGGTCTGTCCCGTATCATCCATCCTACTGCAGTACGTCCCAAGGCTGTTGTTGTATGACCAAACGCCCACGTCTCACATCAGCTACAGAATAATACCCAATGGCTTTCCTTGGCTGGCGCAAATGGCCGACACCAGCGAGTTTTATACCGTGATGATGCACACCTGCCTCTAACGCGTTTTTCGGTCTCTCTAGGTCGTCAAGCCCCTCTGGCCGTTCATGGTTGCCGCGAGCATCTCGCTCTATGGAATCTCAAAGCTGCAGGATATGGGCGTCCGATGTGCGTTTCAGGTCGTTCGACGGAACTACTTGATTGCTGACAGAAATGGACAGCTCCGGAGTATGCTAAAGACCCGAGGAACCCCTACGCAGCACAGATCGCCGCAGAGGGGAGTGCAAAGCACCACTAGACAGAGGCTGGACCAGAATGAATAAAAAGTGACGCAGGCGGATCTGCAGTTTTCGATCGAGCATGGTGTGACCCTTGCAAATTGTTCCAACATAGTTCCCGAAGGCGACATACGCGTTCTATCAAATGGAATGTGGAACGCTCCCTGTCCTTTTCCTGTGGGCATAGTTTTTGATCTCCGAGACCTTTCCCGGAACGAAACCTCGAGCTCATGGGCATCTGTTCCGTACTACGCCCAAACCATTTCAGACTTCTGAGATGTTTGCGGACTTGATTTTCGAAGTACCATTTGACCTTATTCAATCTGGATCATCCTCAAATTTGTACTGGTTGGCGCGATCTTCCTCTGCATCTGCTGTTTCGACGGCTTTTAGTCTTGCACTTGAATACAATCTACCGTCGGCATCCTGTGTTTCTTGTCTCCAGCTCTACTCTATAGACACAATCAGCGTCAGATAGTAAAGCATCTCTTGGATTCTCCGCTGTTTCTCGACGGTTTGTAAATTGACTGTCGACTTTTTTTGGACTCTTTCTGATCACAACGTCTCCAGCTCTACTCTGGACACGGTGAGCTTCAGATAGTAAGGCATTGAATTATCTGCTGTTTTTCGACGGTCGACTTTTTTTGGGGCTCTTTCAGATCAATGTCTCCAGCTCTACTCTGGACACAATTAGCCTCAGATATTAGTGAATCTGTTCTCTGGTTTGTGAATCGACTGTCGACTTTTTTTGGACCCTTTCTACTCTGGAGTCTGGACACAATCGATCTCAGATAGTCCTTGGATTCTCTGCTGTTTCTCGACGGTTTGTAAATTGACTATCGACTGTTTTTGGACTCTTTATGATCACAACGTACTCTGAACACAATCTGCCTCAGATACTTTTTCTGATCACAACGTCTCCAGCTCTACTCTGGACATGAGTGAAACAGAATATCCCACTTCACCTGTTTTTGGACTCTTTATGATCACAACGTACTATCTGCCTCATAGTAAAGCATCTCCTGTTTTTGGACTTTTTCTGACCACAACGTCTCCAGCTCTACTCTGGATATGGTTGAAATAGAATATCCACTTCAAAGCCCGCCTAGCTCAATCGGATAGAGCGTCAGACTCTTATTTAGGCGGGTATCTGAAGGCTGCGAGTTCGACCCTCGCGGTGGGCTAGTTACTTTTTCCATTTTAGCTTGCTATTTCCTTTTTGGCATGATTTTAGGAAGAAGAAATCGTTTTGTCTCAATAGCTACAAGTGGATTCCAAGGCCTTCTGTAATCTCCCTGGGAGAATGCGAGCAATTATTTACAAGCCAAGTGGTCGAAATATTGTCCCTTGACCTCGTTCTTTTCCCGCGAAAGACAGATTCCAAGGTTTGCTTCGTCACTGGCCAGGCACGGAGCAAAAGCCTTGATGGTTATGCCGCCCGAACCTCGGGAGGTCGACCTACGGCTGCAGTACGCCATGGGCTCTCAAAATATGTCAAAGCGGTCAATGCTCGACTTAGATATCTTAGTACCATAATGTGCTGGCAAGACTTGAAGAAACTGTCAATCGTTGAAGTATCGTGGCGAGTCGCGGCGGTACTGGTAACCGCCACGGACCACGAGCATGGTTATGACAAGACAATGCCGCGCATTTAGGACGATGTTTGAGAATTCAGTAAATAATAGGTGTTACGAGGTCCAATGGCCGATTCGTCAGCTAGAAAATGAATCACAGAGGTACTGTATCGTTCAAGAACAAGAAAAGGGACACAGTGAACAGAAGCGCAAGACCAGAAATCGAAGGGAGAGTGGGACCGTGCACGGACCACTTTCGGCATCAACCGGTCTCCTGATTTTGTTTGTTTGCTTGCCTCTTCCACCATTGCGAAAAAAAATGGCTGCCTCTCCAAGCGCTGCCGACGAGGGCCAGGACAACTGGGGACCCTCTGACGATGCTGCCATGGGGCCCCGGCGCAGCGCTGAACCCTCCAATGACCCTCTTCCTGTTGATGATCGTGGTCAGGATCCAAACGACCCCGTAGACTATCCTCGCAGCTCTAGCGTAGGCAGTGTCTCTGTGCACAAGGGCGAAAATTTCCGGGAAAAGCAAGTCAAGGTGCTTATTCGGTCTTGTCTTTCCTTGCTTTGCTTGCTCGTGTAGGGAGAGAGAAAAAAAAAGTCTCTAGTAGCCTGGCATATGGCAACGTCTCCGCTCGCGCTGTCTGTGACGCCAAATGCCTTACTAGCTTACTGTTGCGAGGCTTTTCTTTTGGCTCGGGCCCTTGACCACGCCTCCTTGTCTTTCCACATGTGTCGCAACCTGGTGTTTACTTTCTGCTGTCCAGCCGAACAAGGTCTATATCGGCGGTCTTCCCGAACATACACGTCCAGAGGACTTGCAAGGCTGCTTTGGCCAGATAGGCAACATCACCAACATCGAGCTAAAGTACGTGCTTTCGTCCACAATCCAGATTTACATCTCAAACCAAACCTTCTAGAATCGGATATGGCTTCGTGGTATGTACCTGCTTCGGGATTTTGCGGCCATTTCTGAACCGGGTCGATAGGAATTCGACAGTCGCCAGGCTGCGGAAGAAAGTGTCGCCAAGTATCATGAAGGCCATTTCATGGGCAACAAAATTCGCGTGGAGCTTTCCCACGGAGGTGGCAGGACTGCAAAATACACCGGGGATCCAGGAGCTTGCTTCAAGTGCGGTAATATGGGTCATTGGGCGAGGTAAGTTGATCTGCATTGACAGTTCTTCATGCTCATCTCCCCAACAGAGAATGCCCAAATGCAGCCCAGTAAGTGTCCAACCCGTCATGTCCACTCTTTCGTCTAATTTATTTCGCAGGAGTCCCCAGCGTCGTATGCACGATGCGACTCCAATGGACCGTGGTCGTGACTATATCCCGCTGCCTCCTCGTGATGTACTTCCGCCGCGTGACTCTCGCTATGACTATCCTCCTACCCGGGATTATCGACGAGCGCCTTCGCCTCCGCGCGATTATCGCGACTATCCTCCTGCCCCTCCTATGAACAGGGGTAGAGACTACGATGATTACAGGCGCGGTCCTCCTGCTGCTGAGCGCGATCGCTATGTTCCTCCGGTGCCTCCTCAGGACTTCAGAGGAGGGCGTTACCCTCCCCCACCGGATCCTGCCTACCGCGGCTATGGTGGACCTCCTGCGCCTCCTCCTCCACAGTATGATCGCTATGACAGAAGACCTCATGAGCGATACCCCCCTTACCCTCCTGCCGCCGGTGGTAGAGCCCGAACTCCTCCGAGGGTTCGCGATGACTACGACAGAGCCCCACCGCCTCGGTATATTATTCGCTTTCAAAGAGAATTCATCTGAATTTTGCTTTTGAGTAGGGACTTTACAGATTACCGTGGTCGTCCGCCCTCACCTCCTCCTTCGCGTTACACGAACGAATACCCTCGAGGAGGCCCCCCGGATGTGGCAGCCCCGAGATATAGGTATACTCTTTCTCATTGCCCAAATCACTCATAACGTCGGTTGTAGGCGCCGCTCCGAAAGTCCCCCTCCTCGCGCGTCAGGCGGTACGTATGAACAAGGCTACACCACTGGAAACGGAGGAGGCTTTTCTGGCAATGGCTATACTGGTCCCCCTAGGTCTCGGGATTATCCTCCTCCTCCTGCGCGCAATGGGCGAGATGGCCCTCCCGATACTGGCAACTACAGACGGCCTTGACGGCCTTAACGCGCTGTGTCAAGTCCTCGGTGATTGAAAACTGCTACTCTACAAAGGACAATTGGATGTCCCACACCCCTACTTCTTTTCATCCGATGTCAACTTCGGTTACCATTGGATTTCTACGTTCATATTATATGTATAAAAAAGTAGTTACTGTTGCGTCTTATGCCCCAGCCATCTTATATAACGCGTGTTTATCGCCAGACTCATCGACGAGGGCCCGAAGCATGCCGTGCTTGTTTTTAAGCAGTTCTTTGGGAGTGTCGAACTCGACCTAAGCGATCGTCAGTACAGTACCATGGGCAGAGAGAGATAAAGTCGTACAATACGACCAGCATCAAGGACCATCTACAGTGAGCATAAGTACATATAGCGGAATAAATAATTGACACTTGCAATTTTATCTGCATCCATGATCGTTTGAAGGCGATGGGCAACGGTCAACAGGGTGGTATCTCTGGGCAGCTCATTCCGAAGAGACGATTGAATGACTGCATCAGTCTTGTAATCTATTTCAAATTTCAAAGTTAGTTCAAGTAATACATTGGGAGTGGGCGTTACCTATGGCCGATGTTGCCTCGTCGAGGATCAACAGCTTGCTGCCCCGAACGATAGCACGAGCTAGGTCCAGTCAGCACATGTCAAGCTCCGGGACCGCCACAAACCTAACGCGAGGATTTGCCGCTGCCCCACACTCAGGTTACCGCCGCCGGAGGAGATCTCACTGTCCAAGGTGATTCTTCCTTCGTCCATCTCGTTCTGAAGGGCGAAGAGGCCTGCGGCCCGCAGCGCGCTATTGAGGGTCGCATCGTCGTATTGCTCAAACAGATCGAGATTTTTCCTGAGCGAGCCCGTTAGGAGCTCAGGCTGTAAGAACAAGATCAATATAGGCAAGTCGGTAAAGTGGTTCAATGCTCACTATTTGGGGAATGATAGTGATATTTGATCGCAAGGCGTCCAAGTTAAGGGACGAAGTGGGAATGCCATCGTAGTAGACCGTTCCATCCGTAAATATGCATCTCAGGAGAGCTAGCGTTAAGGAACTCTGTGCAAGATAGTCAGCAAGGAAACAAGAAAGAGATGAACAACTAACTTTTCCGGACCCGGTTCGTCCCACTTGGCAGCAATTGAGTTACCTGATGAATACAGTACAATCGGAACTCACCGACTCCGACCCGTTCTCCCGACTGGATGTTGAAGGAGACGTCGTGCAGCACCTTGGGTCCATCTGTCGAATACTTGGCAGATAGCTTTTCAACGCTCAATTTCCCGCTTGCAGGCCAATAAGCAGGCGGTATGCCAGCGAGAGTAGGCTTGGGTTCCTGCTCAATGGAAATGTATCCTCGGATTCGTTCAAGCGAATTGCCTTGGATTTCAAAGTCGTTCAACACCCGTACCTGTTGAGGGTTAGAAAGAGCTCAGAACAAGAGATTCAGAGTACTCACCCACCACAGGATCATGCTGGAGAATCCGATAGCCTGAAAATTTGTCAAAGTCGGAACCAAGTAGGAGGAGAACAAAGCATGCCATGTTCAAGCTGAAACCAATGTTGGACGGGGTATGAGACTGGAAGTAGACCAGGTAGTATGCCAAGGAGGCAGCCTGAAAAAAAGTTAGGCAGCTTGACTTTCGCAGTGAAAAAAGGACCAACGAAGAGGCCACCAAGGGCGTCTACACAATCGTATCAATCAATATCAAGTTTGGAATGCTCACTGTTCACTTACCAATGCGTACACAGATCCATCGATTGAGATTGTAAAACGTCCGAGAGGTGCGAGTATACTTGTCGATGCGTTCGAGTGAGATATTAATGATGGAGTTCTCAGCCCCATAAGCACGGATAGATGTGAGTCCGGCTATCGCTGCGCCAAAGCTATAGAGGATCAGCGCAGGGTACAGTAAGAATAAAATGCGACATACTGGCCAAGAACAGGAGCCTTCATATTGCTCATATCGCGTTTGACGCTAAGTTGCGCAGCTATGTAAATTTGCTTGGAGTTTCGTGAGTCACTGGAAAGAGAAAGGAGAGGTAAACGTACTCCACACCAGCCACCCAGAATCCCGACGAGGCAGCCAGGCAAAAAAAACAGGGGAACAAACAAAATCACGGCCAGAAACTTTACCAGCATCGACATTGACATGTCTGCGGGCACGAGAGAATTTATTCCGCCGTCGTCGTGACTTGCGATCGCTGACGTCACTCACCCAAAAGTCCCCATAAACCTTGCTGAATGGCCCGTAAGTCTACAGCTTTGACATAGAGATGCGGCTCACTTGTATTGGTCCGTCCACGCTCCGAATATCGACCGTACATCTGGCTATCACCCGGGAGGTAGGGGTAATATCAAGCCACCTGAAATGAAACATTAAAAATGAGCCAGGAAAATATTCGGCTAGAACTCACCTCAAAGTCGTGCCAAGGACTGATTCGACGAGCTGCTTGTGAATGGATTTCGAGGCTCGG